TGTCTGGGTTCTTCCCAGCAGCTAAAAAAGAATTGAGCACCCAAAGAACAAAGAGAGTAAAGACTCAGAAAAGGTAAAAAACAAAACAAAAACAAAACAAAACTAAAAAAACCCAACCCAAACCAAACCAACCAAACAAAACTAAATGTTTATTGAAGTGGAAAGCAAGAGCAGGGAGCATCGGGTGAGGGAAGGGGGCGGTCTCCAGAGCTGGTAGGCAAGTGTCCTGGAGGCTAGTCTTTTATAGGACCCCTGGGCTCCCTTCCCTTTCGACACCCTTTTAACCTTTCTTAGTTCTATCCCCCCCCTCTCCCATTACTTCATCCCCCTTGCCTGGATGTCCTTGGCTCAGGGAGATGATAAATGAGAGTGAGGCGGCACCCCATCTTCAAAGTGGAGGGTTACCCTCTCCATAGCTGCTACGTGGGAGTGCTATATTATCTTTCCTTCTTACTCCTGCTCTGACTGCCTATACCATGCTACCTGCTCACACCCACACCCCAGCCCTGAGCCTGACATGCCATAGAAGCACATATGTCATAGTTAGAATGAGCCCGGGAGCTACCGAATGACAGAAACTGTGAGGTCCTCATTCTGTTGCTCTTCCCCCATTCGGCACCTTGTTCTGAGGCCTGGCAGAGACAACATCGGCTGAAATAAATTAAGAGAAGTAGCAGGTGTTCTGAGACCCACGAGTCAACAGCTGGCCTGGGACATGTCTCCGACCAGACACATACTCAAGATTCATGTGGCTACTGTCTAGACCCCAGACACCAGCCAGTGCATGTTTATTCTACTAGGGTCCCTGAGGCACTGCTTCACCAGGACTTCTCAGCCTGGCCTTGGTGCCATTCCCTCCTGTGCAGGGCCCACAGAAGGAAAAGAACATGTAGAGCAAGCAGAGATGAAGGACTGTGTGACTGCTGGAGTGACTCATGTGACAGACAGCGGAGTCTGAGCAAAGGCCTCCTCCCTATCAGGAAACAGAGACCTTTGGAACTTAGGGCTATAGGGTCAACAGTATGGGAGTGTCAGCAGTTGAGAGTGACCACCTTAAGAAGGGCAGTCCTCCAAGTGTGGCCTCCAAGACAGCAGCTTCTGAGGCAACATGAGGAGAAAATCTGCTCCAGTGTGTGTGTGTGTGTGTGTGTGTGTGTGTGTGTGTGTGTGTGTGTGTGTGTGTGTGGCCTCTCCCCACCCCATCTCCGTGTGTGTTTGAGGAGGGGGAATCTGTATATGAGAGGTAAAGACATTATAGTAAAAGCTAGAATGTGTCCCAAATTCCAAGGCTGAGGAAAATCCCATCACGGCTCCATTCTTCCTATCAGGAAGTGGGGAATTCCCAGAAGCTTGAGAAGAAAGCAAATTGAGAAGATTCCAAGAGGAGGGTTTCATTAGCAAAGGCCCTCCCGTCCTGAGGCAAGTCCCTACTTTTCCCCTGGAAGTTGAACTGAATGCTGGGACCCAGACTGCCCCTTGAAGGCCCAGTATGTAGTTCAGTGCTTCTCAGTTCCTAGTGGGGAGCCTATCTCAGCTCCCTACAAGCCAGGTTCCTCTTTCTGGACCCCCTGCCTCTATCTCCTTTCTCAGCTCATCTCTCCAACACTTTCCTCCCCTGACTATTTCCCTTCATCTCCCTCACCTAACCTCAGGTCTTAAGGGAGGGCCAGGGCCCTATTTTGCTTTCTCCGGACTGGGTGTGTCCCCAGAGTGGCAGGAAGAGGCAGGAACACCTGGCCCACGCTCTCTGCTGCTGCTGACATGGCTCTATTTTGGGACTTGTCTCTAAACTGTTCAAGCTCATGCATGTTCCTCTGTACCTTGGGGATGCCCCTTCCCAGCTGGTATCATCAAGGCTCTGCCAGTTCGCCATAGGTATTATTGTTTATGTATTCAAATATCCATAAAGCACCTTTCCAAGGTTGAAGATGTATTGTGGAAAATTTCCATGCCCTCATAGAGCTTCTACTTTGGTGGGGACAACAAGGAAGAAATAAGCAATTAAGTGAATTTGTAATATATAATAAACATAGTTTTTCTGCCATGCAGAGAGAGGGTAGCAAGGTGAGATGCCGGGAAGGAAACAGCCCTGTCTTAGCAGGGTCAGGGGAATCTTAGAGGAGGTGACTTGAACAGACCTAAAAATGGTAATGGTGAGTGAAGGTGACAACTTGGAGGGAGCTATTTCAACAGAAGGGTGCTCTCAGACAAGGGTGGCTGTGAGGGAAAGGAGGGAGTACAAGGGGCTGGGGAGATGAGGTCAGAGATCCCCTGGGGCCCTGTTTCTCTCTCCAGGGAGCCTGTGTTTTAGTCTAAGCACTAGTCTTGAGCAGGGAAGTAACATAATCTGTTTTACACTTTGAAAGATTTCTCTGTATGGAGAATTCCCTGACAAAGTGGAATCAGAAGACCAGTTAGGAAGCTGTGGGCATTACACATCACCACGGATGGCCATCACTCCAAACACTGACATCCAACAGCCTGGCACAAACCCCTGCCTGGCTACATCCTCACCTCTCTTCTTCTAGTGCAGTCACAGACCGCTCCGCCATGTATCTAGACTGGGTTCTTGTCCTCGGGAAAGTTGTCCTGGGGCCTGCCCACTAAAGCTGTGAAGCACATGATGCTACCTACCAGTCCACTTCTCAAGAAAGGTGACACTGTGCTACACTAGCCAGGACCCCAGGGAAGGTACAAAACGCAAACGCCTGCTAACCTCCCTCTGAATGGTCCTCCTCTCTTCCCCCTCTCTGAAGTGTTGGCATTATGACTCTCGAGCTCTGGCCAGCCACCCTGTACTCCCTCACTGACATCTGCTGCCACGCTTCCTCTGACCTCCAACACAGGTGCACACACCCCTAGTTGCTTTGGTCAGCAGCTGACTTGGGATCCACTCAGCACACCCCAGACCCCTGCTCAGTAAAGGAGACGAGGCCAAAACTTGCAGAGGGAAGATGAACTCTAGTGTGGGAGACAGAAAAACATGTCTGAAAACTTTATGATCTTGTGTGGGGGGTTAAACATGAATATAGGATAAGAGAGAAAGGGCCAATTCTAGCTAGGAGCCTGAATTACTGTAACTGCAGATGCTCCCAGGCTCAGACCCCAGTGTCCCCTGACTCACTGCACTGCTCCAGCTAGTCCCTCAGATGTCACTAGGAACTTAGTGGGTTTACAACTTAACTCTTCTTGCTCTCTCCTTTCCTTGTCTTCTCTAGCACTGTTTTTGGGGGAGTGGGAGTAGTACTAGACAATCACAGGGCTTTATCCATGCCAAGTAATGCTCTACCACTGAGCTATATTCTTACCTCATTGACCAATCTCTTAATCCATAACCCTGCTCAGCTCACTAATCCTTAGTCTACACTATCACCCATGATGGTAAGCTTCATGTGGCCCCGGCTGTTCTCACTACTAGGTACCCCTGGTAATCAGTCTCACCCATAAACACCCCTTTAAAGTGACTTTAATTCTACTCTTTCTGGGTCAGGCCCTTATCACTATCATAATGACCACGGACGACTAGGGTCTCTTCACTAATGAACCTCTGATAGTTCCTTGTTGCAAACATGATCATTCAGAGGAAGATGAGCAATGAAAGGCAGGATGCAGTATGCTGGGAAGAGCTGGACACAGCTCTTCCTCTCCTCAGACACCTGGACACTTGTCCGGGACTGGCCCTCAAGCAGCGCAATTGGAGTTTGAACTTACCATCTCTGGTCCTAGGACCTACTCTCCTCACCATCCACTTTAGCCTGGACCTTTCCTCTTTGCCTTGGCTCCCCCACATCACTTGGATTAAGCCACCACATACATCTTTTCATTTGCCCTCTGAGGCAACTTCCAGCCCTCTTCCCATGTGTCTTACACTCAAGTTACTCTAGAATTTTCAAGTTGTAAACTTATTCATTTCAAGTCGCTGCTACCATTTTTTCATTGGCTTCTTGTGACTTGTAGCTTACAACTACAAAAGGTCCACTGAGTAATTCAGTCTCTCACCACCCAGCTTACACCTTCTACTCCAGACTGTAACAGTCCTTCAGTTCCTAGAATGCATTGTGTCTTCCTACTTTCTGTTTCCTCCAGTCAACATCCTTGCTGCCTCGTCCCCACCCTAGATCCCTTGTCTACCCAGCTTCTACTCATGCCGCAAGGACTCAGTAGAGATATTCCTTCCCCTGGTCATCTTTGATCTCTCTAGGCTAGGGAAAGTATTCCTCCCCTACAGCATCCTGAGTCACCCTGAGACACTTGCTACCTTGCAGAGTGTGCGTGTCAGCTCCTCAGATCTGTCAGCTCTGAGAGTGTTTGCCTACCTGACTTAAGCAGGAACTTCAGAGCAAGGTGTAGGGCCGGCACTCAAACTCAATGGCATCCCCCTTCTCTGGAAATAAAGCCTCAAATTATGATCCTCCTGCCTCAACCTCATTAGTACTGAGATGTCAGGCATATATATTTCATCGTGACTGACCAATACATATTTTTCCAATAGATGGATGAATGGCATAAGAGTGGAGAAGGAGGGTGAAGCCTGGGTGCATCTGGAAAGGAAGAGGCATTTCAGAGCAGGAAGCAATGTAGAAAGGGGTCTGATAAAGGCTCAAGCATTGGGCCGGCCATGTGTCACATTCAGAGTGCAAGAGGCCGGCCTATTGGGGCAAAGGTCATAAGGGGAGTAAAAGGGTGATGAGGACAGATGTTAGAACCAAGATAATGTCACAGAGGCATTACGGAGCAACACAGCCAGGATGTGGGACAAGCATAGCCGTGTTTAAGGGCATCAGTCTATAGCAGCCTACAGTCTGACTTGTGTGAGGGCGGGGAAAGAATTTGGAGACTCTGAGGATCAGCGGAGAGCCTGTTCTGAACTCCGTCAGCCAGAAGACCTTTTTTCTGCTGCAGACTCCAGTCCACTGCAGTGGTGGAAGGAAGGCAAGTTCCTCTTGCCAGCACTTGCTCCTCAACTGGGCAGAGGTAGATTGCCCTTCCTGATGACTCACCCTGGAAGGGTCAGCTCCCAACAGAATGTCATTGTTGACAGGAAGAGGGGCCAGACTTTCTCTTCTCCAGCCAGTTTTCTGGGTACCAAGACAGCAACACAAGACAACAAAATTCGTAAAATGGAGAACACACCCACACCATGTCACCCCCCCTACATGCTTCAACCCACAGTGCCACGTGTCAGCTGGACTAACACAGTTGTCAGTGACTCAGGCAGTCGTAGAAACTCTCAAGAAGTATGATACAAGGGTCATGAAGGAGAAAGGCAATGCCACTTCTCTATTCTCAGGCAAGAGAACAGGGCAGATGCACCAGACAATAGTGGTTGTGAGACCCACATTTAGAAGAATACTAGAGCTAGTATGTGAATCTTAATGAGGAACAGCATCTGGTAAGGCTTCTTTTGAAGTGAGAAATGAAGAAAAGGAAAAGGAACAGATCCGCCCCCCCCCCCCCCAGAAGTGTACAAGCCAGGCCCAGGTCAAAAAAGCTGTCACTCTGATGTGTGAACTGCACGAACTACCTTCACAGGCTGGCTACCACTCCAACAGTCATTAGAGTTTATAATTTGTTCTCTATAGAAGAGCAATGTCACATGGGTGGTTTTCCTGGCCTAGGCCTTCCTAGAAGTCTGTTGGAGCAGAAAAGGTAAAACAATGACAGAAGGCTACAGACTTGAGAGACAAGGAAGAAAGGGAGCTTGGAGCAGCTGCAGGGCTCAGCATCCCCATGCTGGAAGCAAAGGACAACAGAAGTAAACCTCTTCCGAGTGTGTGTGTGTGTGTGTGTGTGTGTGTGTGTGTGTGTGTGTGTGTGTGTGTGTCTGTCTGTCTGTCTGTCTGTCTGTCTGTCTGTCTGTGTTTCTCAATCTGCCCTGTACAGGAGGCAGTGGGATCTAGGCTTGCCTCACCTGTGGAAGACAAGAAGGGACAGAGCTTTGGCTTAAGGTGACAGTTAGCTGGCCTTAGAATGCCTAGAACTTAAAGATAGATGGGAGGCATGGAAATGATTCCATATCTAGGCTGATGGCTGAGACACTGAGGGGAAAAAAACGATCCCAGGAGAGGGCTGAGGGTCAGGAGGAAGAAAGAAGCATTTCCTCCCACAGCTACCTCTGTGTACCCTGATGCACAAGATCCCAAGGAACTGAGTTTCCTTCCCGTCCATTGCTCTCTTCTTCTCCTGTGCCTTCCTCCTGGCCTTTCTCGCTCTACTGTTGCTGGTGTAGAGCTGGGCCGAGGGTACAAATGAGAAGCAGACTAGTTTGTTCTCTGCCTGGAATCCTCTTCTGGCAGTTGCCTCAGAGCTGGCTTCTTCTTGTCTTAGCTTACATGTCACACCCACCAAGAGGCCTTCTCTGACTTCTCCTTTGATTTAGCTGGCCCTGGTGTCACTATTGTTTTATTCCCATGTAGCGCTGACTGCTACCTGGTACTTTTCTCTATCTGAAAATTGTGAGGAGAAAGACCAAATCCATGATTGTTCAAAGGAAGCACGTCCTGCTTTGTAGTGCACCCAGGACTGGCCAGAACGGAAAGAAAAGCTCTGTTTGTCCTGTGCAGGTTAGGGTTTCTGTTTATAGTTAAAGAATAAGTTCCTGTTTGTCCAGTGTTAAGTCCTTGCAAGTTAAGCTTTCTATTTGTAATTAAGAATAAATTCCTGTCGCTTAGATCTGATGGAAATTGCAAAACGTGTTTTTCAACCTACGCTAAATGTGTGACCCCATCCACATGGTGTCTACCCTAACCCTCCTCATTCCTTCCCTTTCATTACATTTTTCTAACAATGTTTACCAGCCAACCCTCTTGCCCCTGTGAACACTTTACCCCTCATCTAAAAGGAACCTCTAGAGGCTGTCAGGGGCTGCTTTCTAACCCGACTTAGGGAGAGGCATCCAGACTGGCCAATCCCAGATGAGATGCACCCCAAAATACAGCTCACTTCAATTGGGCAATCGTGGCTTGGTCTTTCTCCTCACAATTCTCGGGTTTAACACTCTCCTGGTTTTGGTTTGCTTGTGTCTTCATGTAGAATGGACACTCCTTGAGAACAGGGACCTTGTCTGTGTTGTATGTAGCTATAGCAGTTGTATTCCCAGAACATAGAGCAATGGCTGGTTCCAAGTAGACGCTCACATGTTTAGTTTATTTGTGAGTAATAACTGCTAGCATTTGTTGAGTGCTCACCACATGCCAAGCACTTTTTTCATGTGTGACCTCAAGAGTCAGCAAACTGTGGGTTTCAAGGCAAATAAGGCTCTCTGAAAGTTTTCACAATCTTAACAGAACACACCCATTCGTGCATGTGCCGTCTACAGCTGCTTTTGTGATACATAAAAACTGAGTAGTTGTTGCAAGGCCGGCATGGCTAACAATCTAAAAATATTTACAGCATGGCACTTTGCAGAAAAGGGCCACTGGCCCTGTGTTAACTCAAGTAACCCCCAACAGCCCCATTGAGGCCAGGTTGTGATTAATGCCAATTTACAAATAAGGCGACCAAGGTACACAGAGCATGCATGGCACAGGACACAGAGCTACTTACTAAATACACAGGCTGGATTTGAACCCAGACAGTTTTGATCTATGCTCCTTGTTCACTGCAATGTTTCATGACTTTTCTAGGGATGAAGTGGGGAGAAGGGAATTAAGTTTATCCTAGAATTCTGAAAGCATTAGAGCATATGAAAATGGAAAAGGAGAATTAAAAATATATATAATAATAACAATAGAGTTCTTAGAACTCTAAACCATCTGAATTTTTTAATTGTTTTTGCTGTTATTTAGGTATTATTTGTTCTGTAACCCAGGCTAGCCTCAAATTCCCTGCCTCAGTCTCCCTAGAGATAGAATGACTAGTGTGTTCCACTGCATGTGAGTTTGGGCCACTGATTTGTTTGTTTGTTTGTTTTAACAAGTACTAGGGACTGAATCCAAGGATTCAAACATGCTGTTTAAGTGCTCTACCATTGAGTTTGCACCCCCTGGCTGTTAGATCATTGATTTTGAGGCTTGACCCTACTCTGAGACCCATACCTTTCATAGTTTGTCTGCTGGAGCAGAAGCCCCACCCCTAAATGTAAATAGAAGTACCCTCTTCCTTCACTGTGAAGATGAAGTGCCAAATCTTCTCTACTTAGGACTTGAGATACCAACGTTTTTCGTAAATCTTCAACGTCTGGTCTGGCCTGCCTACATAATAAACAAGGTTCTAGTGGTCTCCAATGTGCAGTGATGCACTATTTTTAAAATTGTTTTTGTAGCTACACACACACACACACACACACACACACACACACACACACAGGCTTCTAGAAGCCTCACTGTTTGAACATGTTTGAGAACTTCTCATTCCTCCGATGTTGAAATGTGGATGCAGTTCAACTCTGTGGTTAAAGAAACCCAGAATTAGAGAATCAGTGGATAAATTACAGTCTTAGAAACACAGCCCCACACAGAAAGCCTCCCAGAACTGCTGCAAGTTTCTCATGGCCTTAAGAAAGGCAAGGAAAAGGGCTAGGAGAGGATGAGGCAAGCTGGAGGAGCCGAGCCTGGGCTGGCCATCTAGGTGGACAGTTCTGGAAGGTACATGAGAGCAGGAAGCAGGGGGAAGCACCTTCCCTGGTTTCTGGCTTTGAAGGCTACTTTAAGATTTACCAAACACTTTCACATTTTGTGAAACATTTCCTTATGACAAGGTCCTGAGAGGAGAATTGTTTGTTTCCCTACTACCTATGTTACACAATTGGGTGAGAGTCACAGTTAGGGTCCCTCCTTTTGGACAGATTCTTTGTTCCTTTAGAACAATCTCTTAGGACTGTCTCAGAGGCCTGACCCAGGGACATCAGGGGAGATCTTAGTTATTTCAATTCACTTTGTTCATTTCATTTTCTGCTATATCTCAGTGCCCAAAACCTAGCCCAGACTAGTCCTCAGTAGGCATGTACGCAGGGAAATGAAATGCCATCTCCTGCTCCAGAATTGTCTCTAGCCTGGTGGAGGTGGTAGAACAGGTACGGACATAAGGCTAAAATACGCTCAACCATGAAGAGGACCAGGAGAAGGTACAGAGTGCCTCAGGGCTCCAACAAAGACACTGGCCATAGGAGTTGGAGAAATGGAATATTCATGGAGGAAATGGCCTTGGAGAGTGTTCCATTGAGTTGCCATCACATATGGGGCAGGGGGCGTGGCAGTACCTGCTCGGCCAGCTTCTACCACCTTGATGTCTCCCCCAGCCACACAGAACCTTCTTCCTGCTGCTCATTGTCTCTGTTGCTCACTCACCCTGCCTTTTTCTTTTTCCTTGGTTTACCCAGCATTAGAAATTTACATTGCAAGTTGTTCCTTATCCACACCCCCTTAATTATGGAGTGCAGTAATGAACTGCTTGCTTGTCTAATTGTCTGCAGCCCCACAGGCCTGTAACCTTCTTGACAGTAGACTGGCTATCTTTATATTTGGGAGAGTCTAGCAATTAACCTTGAGTAAACTTCAGCCAAATCATAGTAAACATTTAGTGAGGCCATCACCAATGGGAAAATATCCAATTATATGAGGTCTAAGGATAGGTAATGGAAGAAAAGGCTGCAGCTGAAGGTTGGGACCACCCTAAAAGTGACAACACTGATGGATGTATGGAGCTGCCAGCAGCACTAGCAAGGTGTGGTGTTGACTAATGGGGTGACTCTGTCGCATGAGGGCTAACAGCGAGCACAGGCAGTCCAAGAGAGAGGGAGGAGGATGGTTCCCCAGAGTCCTGGTGCACAAACAGGTCTCTAGAGCCTTTGGAGGAGTTCCTGAATTCCATCATTCACCTACTTGACATAGAGGGCTGCCTTGGGGGATGGAGGGATGGCTCAGTCAGTAGAAAGTGTCATTCCTCAGTCACTCCTCACCATATGTTTTGAGCCAGAATCTAAGGACAGTGTCCTATTCTTAAAAATGTTTGCTGAATGAATAGCTAGATCTGATCCTGCCCATGGCTTCCCAGAAGTCTGCATGTAAAATCAAATGTCATGTGGATGGTCTGCAGTCACAATTAACGGTGTTGATATGGCCTCCTACTCACTTTCTCTGGTCTCACTCACCAGCTCCAATTATTTCAGAGTGTTTGCATTACTTAGAGCCCACCATACTGCCACACTGACTTCTGTGCATGCTGCTGTCTCTTGGGAACACTTGCTTCCTACTTCCATACTGGGATCACATTTGCTCTCCATGTACCTGCAGGACCTCTTCCTCGTAAAGCATCTCTCTCTCTCTCTCTCTCTCTCTCTCTCTCTCTCTCTCTCTCTCTCTCTCTCTCCCTCTCTCCCTCCCTCCCTCCCTCACTTTCTCCCCTCTCTCCCCCAACTGCTGTTCTCATGAACAATGTATTACAAGGTGGCTTCCCCCACTGTAAGCTCTCTGGAACTTAGGGTGGGCCTGGATTTTCCCCCTAGTGTGTATGGCCTTGCAACAGTTACTCAAGAAATACTTGTTAAGTGAATGTTGTGGATGACACAGGGAGACCAACCACCAGCAGTTTCAAAAGCTCACTGTGACAGTCACAGTTCTTTCTTGCAAAAAGAGGTGTTGCCCTGTGGGGCCACAAAGTATTCAAGTTAACAGTAGAAAAGCTCCCCAAACTCAGTTCTGGGAAGGTCTCCTCTTTGAAGTTGGAGTTTTATGTATAACTTTAAAAACTAGGCACATAATTTATAATTTTATTTTTAAAACTCTAGGAAGAACAGGAATATGGTTTCTATTGTGTTCTAAAAAATACATTTTCTAATCTTCTGTTTTCTTCACAATAAACTAGCTTTGGCATGATAATCTCATTGCAAAAGTGAAATCACTATCTAATGAAATAGCATTTTATGAGCTTTAAAGGAAGCAGATATATGGTCTAAGCTGGGGTGAAGGGAAGGGGGCAGACCCTAAAGGGGCCATTCCAGCTCTAGTGAAGCCAAGAGCCAGGCAGGGCATATTGCTTCAAAACTACTAGAGTTTTGGAATTTCAAGAAAGTTGGTACCAGTGGCCATGTGTCAACAATCCACAGTCAATCAGGAAATATTTACTGAGTGATTTCATCATGGGGAATTGTGGCAGAGAGGAATATAAGACATGTTCTCCTTTGGTATGTTTTCAGTGATACACTCTTTTGAACCACACCATTGTCACGATTTCAAG